TTTAGGTAAGAATGCTAATACTTAATGCCCAAACTCAAGGTGAAAAGCTAATTAAAATTAATACCCCAGGCTTGACTAATTAACCTACGATGAGATTCAAACCAAAGCCCCTCCCTTACTAATAAAGGGAGCCTTACCACCTAAGCTACAGACGTTATGCCATGGAACCGTGTTCACCATTCATGGTGAACACGGTTCCAACGGTGTTAGTGCACCGTTATCTTTTTTTTTTTTTTTTTTTTTTTTTTTTTTTAATTAATTACGTGACTGCCTACACATTCACTTTGGAACCATGAGATTATGAATTTTCTGTTATGAGATTATGAATTTTCTGTTATGCGATTATGAATTTTCTGTTATGAGATTATGAATTTTCATAAATTATGAATTCATGCATGCACATTCACTTTGGAACCATGCCTACATATTCCCGTCCGAAATCACGGACATTCATAAATTATGAATCCATGCCTGCACATTCACTTTGGAACCATGCCTACACATTCACTTTGGAACCATGAGATTATGAATTTTCTGTTATAAGATTATGAATTTTCTGTTATGAGATTATGAATTTTCTGTTGTGAGATTATGAATTTTCTGTTATGCGATTATGAATTTTCTGTTATGAGATTATGAATTTTCATAAAATTCATAATCTCATAACAGAAAATTCATAATTTGATCAGTAATGCACCGTTAACTCCACATCCGCGATTTTTTTTTTTTGCCTAAAAACGACGTCGTTTTGACTTGTGTTCACCATTCTCGGTGAACACGATTCCACGGCATAATTTGCGCCTAAGCTAAGCAACTTCTTGTTACACTAAGCAACCTATATCTACTTAAACACTAATTAAAACAACAACACAAGGGAACAGAGCTCACCCATCTTCTTCATCGTCTTCTTCATGAAACAGAACCCGCGTGTGGAACACGGTGAGGACCTCCACCCTAATTCTGCCTGCGGGGAACACCTCGAACAACACATCGCCGAAGAGCTACCACGCCGGGAACGGAGGAGAGACGCCATCACCGAGCTCCGTCGATGCCGCCGATGCCACGCCCCAACACTGCCATGAGCCTCCAACTACTGCCGCTGCTTCATTTCTTCATAGACAACTGCTTGAATCGCCGGAGCACGGGGGGGGGGGGGGGGGGGGGGGCACCGAAGAGCCGAGGTCGCCGGAGGTTGTTTGCTCGTTTTACCTTACCGGAGAAGCCACTGCACCACTTCTTGTGGTTCTTCTTGTCGACGCCGGATACTAGAGGTGAGGAAGATGATTCGACGCTGCTGCTCCTCTTTGAGTCTAAGGGAGAGATAAGCCGAGAAAGGGGGAAAGAGATACAAAGAAGCCGTGGCCGGACAAGGGCGAGAGATGGCAAAGCAAGACATAGGTTAGGGCGGGGCAATTTATATCCTACACCACGGCGCGCGTTGCACTATGCGCCCAGATGCAAAACGATGTCGTTTTAATTATTTTTTTTTTTGAAATTTCCCGCCCTAGTGAATGGCAGTAGTTTTTTCTTTAAAAAAAAAAACCCGCTGTTCAAGAATGTACATAATGTTATACTAGAATACACATAATGTTATACATGAATGTACATAATTATATAACAAAATATACATACTCTTTTTAAAAGATAATACACATAATCTAACATAATACATAATAAACATAAACTTTTAACATAATACACATCAACTCTTAACATAATATACACAAATTTTCTGATTCGAATGTACATAATTGTATAAAAAATACACATAACTGTATGAACCAATACACATAACGTTGTGAACAAATATACATAACGTTGTGAACAAATACACATAATCTCAGCAACTTCCTACCGTGCCTCCCAATACTACCCCAAAACGACGTCGTCTTGGGAGGCGCGCGGCGCACAGTGCTATGTGCACCGTGGTGTAGGATATAACGATTGGTTAGGGCGGTGGTGTTCTGTGATGTTGTCGCGGAAATGAAGAGAAGAAGAAGGAAGACTACACTACAAACATATCTCATCTAGATAGGGTTATTCAATGAATGGGTTGGGTTAGGAAGTTGGGTTGGGTAACATAGGTTGGGCTTAAACACTTTAGGCTCACAAAATATTAATACTTATATTTATACATATATATGCGCTTAACTTGTGGGGTTCAAGACTTATATAATATATAGTCTTAGGATAATTAAGCACTTGGGCTCAAAGAATAATTACTGGGCCTTAGGGATTAAAACTCATTTTGGGTTTAGGCATATTTTGTACCAAAAATATTGGTTCACCATAATAGGTAAACCCGAGCCCGTTTTAAAAATAAATAGCTATATAAATATTTATATTAAAAATATTTAATATCGGGGCTATAATTTATTTTAGGAAAATACGGGGTGTCACATGTGCGGCGTTCAACCACACGCCAAATCAACACACGGGGGTCGCCGAAGGATCTTGCAAACCTTGTGGGAGCCCTAACTCCGAGGCAAAAGGAGGATGTTATGGAGATTGGCCTTGGTGCGCTGTTGGGGTTTAAGATTACTAAGGTACCGCTCGGGATAGGGCATTGGGTGGTCACCAATTTTGACCCGGCTAAGAAGAGGATCAACTTGGGGAATGGGCGGTACATTCCTGTCACCAAGGAGGATGTTGCTGCCATCTTTAGCCTGCAGAGTGGTCCAATACCGATATCTGAACGGGATAACCAGGCTGTTAGCCCAGAGTTGCGGGAATGGAGGGACGTGGTGAAGCAACGGAGGGGGAGGATTATAGTTAAAGCGTTACGTGCGCTGTTGGAATTAGGACAGTGGCCCGTGGTTCAAAATACATTTCAGTGTTGTAGTGATAACCACCTTAGTTGCGAGCACACCGAATGGATATGCAAACCAGAAAACTGTCCACATGTTAAGTAGTGTGGACACGATTAAGGATCTCGACTGGTGTGGGTACTTGATCCGTTCGTTGGTTACTACCCATCGAAGTTGGACCGAGGTTCCCAATCACAAATTCACTGGCCCGCTTCTATTCCTAACGGTAAGTGTTTGTGGGTTTGGTCCCTTAGCGTCTGTGTGTTTTACCTTTGCTAATAATGGTGTATATGTCTTGTTTTCAGCTTCTGTATTTGGATAGGGTTGTGGTGGGTGTGTGCGAGGTCCCAAGGACGATTCCGCTGGTGGTGGGGTGGGGTGGGGGGGGGAGGTGTGGATCACGGAGTCCATCAAGGCACGTGTGAAGGTAGAGCTTAATTCTGGGGGATTCGGCAAGGGGCTGGTGGATGCTCCTTTTAGTGCGTCCAATCCTGGTGATCCTCTTTGCGTGTATAACTCTGGTGCACTATTGTAACACCCCAGATTTTCAAGACTTTTAAAACTTATATAATAAAGGTAGAATCTCATTAAATCCCAAAACGTAATACAAGAGTACGGGGTGCTATGCCACACCTGAGCTAGAGAACTCAGGTGCACAGGCTAACTAACTAATATCCTTGATAATGTAAATGCATAAGCATGGCACGCAGGCCGAAAGGGAAACTATCTACTTCTACGCTCCAATTTCTAGCGCGCTCCAGTGACTTATTCTTCTGTGCCTGAAAGCCAAATATATCTGTTCAGCGAGAGATGCTGGTAACCCACTCCAACGCGTTGAAATTCAATACATATAGAGATATATATAGATATACGAAAACCATTTTGAGCATGAAGATATATCCTACGAACTCTAGCTTTTAAAACCGGGAATGACTCGACAGATAAGGCTAGACACAAGCAACATTTATAACAAGCGTATCCAATCCACAACAGGCAAGACAGATAAAGCTGAGCACAATTAATAATCATAACCCAACATAAACAATCCCCAGCATAAATCCCATAGTCACATCCCCCAAGATACTCATAATCACAACTCATCCATATCTCATCACATAGCACACTTTGTTGGCGCCACAGGACCAATCGCACGCCCATACATGAGGGTCAGCGCATATAGCTCTGACACAGCCCCGCAGCACCCTGCCCCGTATCGCAACACGGAGGGTTCGATCGCAACCGACCGATGAACCGCAGCTCATCATAATGTTTGATCGCAACCAAACAGTGGACCGCAGCCCAAGAGAATGTCATCTGACCGTAGCCAGGAAATATGAACCGCAGCTCATGTAGAAACGTTTGATCGCAACCAAACGGTGGACCGCAGCCCAAGAGTGTAAATCTGACCGCAGCCAGCTTCTGAACCGCAGCTCAGGAATAACCAATCCGATGGCAACCGAATTGGGGTGTCATGCACACATAACACATAGCAAGCACATGCAACCCACATTAACACATTGGGAAGGGGAGAAAGCGTATAACAAAACCTATGCGTGATCCTTCACATACTAAGAATGGTCCTAAGGGGTTCATACTTCTTCCACCTAGGTCAACGGGATACCAATTCAACTAGCATGCAATATATAAGACTCATAAACCTATGAACGGTACCCGAAACATCAAACTAGACACGACACGATGAACGGAGTCCGTTGGGACACCACGGGGATCGGGGAAACATCAAACGGGGAAGCGAGGGTCCCGAATGGGGGAGATTTCCAGCGGGTAGCCGGTGGGTGGGGGGCCACCCGCCGGCTGCCCGCCGGTAAGCACTGTTCCGGGCAGCGGGTCGCCGGCGGGCAGCTGCCCTCCCGCTGGCTGCCCGCTGCCGGAGACGTCCCTTCTGGCCGCGGGTAGGTGGCGGGCCCCCTACCCCCCACTGACTCTTTATACACAAAACGCCCCGGGAACCATTGTGGAACCTGAAACCATGCTTAGACACTTTACAACGCAATTAACGATCAACACGTAGACAATTAACGGATCAAATACGAGAAACGTACGGCACATAACCTATCATGCTTTTCTAAACATAATCGACACCCAAACATGCGATTTCCCCACCCGATACACCAAGAATAATATCATACGATACAACCTAGGGTTCTAATCACTTTTATACCAACAAGAATACGATTCGTCTTCTAATTACAAGATTCGGTACAAATAACACATAAGCATCCAGAATGCCATACAATTATCAAGAACGACATATAAACATCAAGAACTCCACATAATCATCAAGAACACCATAATTATCAAGAATCTCGCAATATCAAGATCACCCATAGAATTATCCCATCAATCATCAATAATAATATCACAAATCATCAATACACAATAATATGGGGAAATCCTACGGGGGAAATCATAGCTATGAAAATAGGTTTTGTTGAGACATGGGTTACCTCTTAGCCTTAATTAATTCCTTGGCTATGAAGGGTTTTTCTTTAAGCCTTCTTCTTTCTTGATTTCTCCTAAGGGGATTCTTGGAACTTCTTGTGTGGTGAGAGATTATGGTGGTGAAAGATCTAGGTGCCTCCTATATCCCTATTTATATATTTAAGACTCTTAATTAGGGTCTGAATGGTATGGGTTTATTAATTCTATTCCTTATAGGACTAAGGGCTTATTTTAGGGATAAGGGTCCATGGTCCATAGTGGACCATATTAATTAATTAAATGGAATCCTAATCGTAGTCTGAATAGTAAAAGGCTTACTCCCTTTATTCCTAATAGATAACTAGGTCTAGGATTCCTTAATTAGAGTCTGAATAGTAAAGGGTTTACTTTCTTTATTCCTAATAGGCTTAGGACTCTAATTTAGGCAAGGGTCCACGATTCATGGTGGACCTTATTAATTAATTAAAGGAAACCTAACCGAATTAAATCATTTTTAATTATTATTAGCGGGATTAATTAAATAATTAATCCGGGATTGAAGGCTGTAACACGGGGTGTTACAACTATTACCCGGAGTCGGGGGTGGGGGGGAGAAGCACGCCAGGGGAATGCTCGCGTCGAGAGCATGGTATGCTTTTCTATGGATCCCTATTTTCCGGTCAGTTTGTAATCTTCATGTGTAACATTCATTTTGTCTGTGGGGTGGGGGTTGTGTGGGGTGGGTGATGCAGGGGTTTGGCCAACAGTTTGCAGGTATTACCGATGAGTTGCTTAAGCTGACCGCACGAGTTGTCGATCTGGTCTCGCAGCACCCCATTGAACCGCAAGGAGATTGCAATTTCCGGAAGGTGATGGACTCAGTCAAACAGTGGGAGGCTACTGTGAATATGCCAGGAAAGGCAACTGATCTGTCTCCTCAACCGCCTGCCCTGGCAACAGGTGACGAAGGGTCGTTGGTGTATGATGCAGGCTTCATAAGGGAGCTGGACGAGGCCGAGTTGGCTGCGACCGGGACCTACGGCGTGTCTGATGTGCCGAGCTTTAGCTTAGGGCTTACGCAAGAGTTTGCAACGCACAAGCGGTTAGACAGCATGGGCCAACAGCCGGACACTACTGCACCACTCCGACAGGTACACTAATGCAAATGTCTTTGCCAGTGCAATTTTCATACGTTAACTTGGGCCAACATTTGCAGGAACCAAGTACCCGCACGTATTGCATCGCATCCTGCGGCACCGTGCACAGCTCCATCGGACGTGCCAAAGCCTAAAGAACAGGAGCGAGTTGTTCAATAGGGTCAGTTGGCAGGGATTTACTTCAGCACCACGTTTGGGTATTCGTCTTTTCCACTACCGCACGTGTACGTCATGTGGGCGTGGATTTTTAGTTGTTCCCCGAGGGGTCGGTAAGTGGCTTTAATGCATCTGAGCTCGGTTTTGCATTCATAAATTGATTGTGTTTGATATCTGTGTTTGGGTGCTCTTTTGATACCGATTCATTATGGTTTTTATCTTGTAGCGATGAGGTGTTATTTCAATATGCTGATCGGATGGTAAAGTGGGCACAAATCCAAACCCTTAGGGAGGGGTCGAATGTTTCCAAGGTTGTTGTGGATGCCTGGTGCTATGTCCTCAATGCCCGGGAGAAGGTGACCACAACTGGTGGTGTGACCCGGCTGCTTCTACCCACCAGCACGACGTTACGTTACTGTCTGCACACCAGCAAATTGCTCTATATACCATAGTTTCGAACCATTTTTTACACGAAAACTATGTGGGTGTTGGGGTGCGCTGTGTGCTCTAAGGCCTTCTAACTAGCAATTGTAATATACAGATCAGGACCGTTGTTGTGGCTTTAGCTAGTGAAGATGCGAGGATCTCTTGGTTTGGGAACCGCATGGACGCGGAGTTGCAGCGAATGGGCCGCGGGGAGACTGTCGACATAGATCTGGTGACGTACCTTGCACTATAATTTAATTGCAACATCTACCCTCCATTGACTAATACTCCTTTTCTGGAATGTCGATGCAGTTTATTTTCCCAATTTTCAGCAAGGAAACGTATTACATGATGGCTATCAGTTGCAAGCCTCCCCGATTTGACATCATTGACAGTTCGTCTGCGCGGAAGACTACTAAAGAGATGTATGGGGGGGGGGGGGGCGAGGAGCTGGTATGTGTTTTTGCTCTCTTAAATAGATGGAGCACACAGTTATGCTTGTATTAGTTACGTGTCTAATTACTTGCCTTTTATTCTCCATTGTTTTTGCACCGTTTTGCCATCCAAATAGGATTTTTATACCAGAAAAGCGTGCTCTAGCTAATGTTGAACACTTCCGTTTTGCTGTTACGTTTGTCTGATTTGTGTTGCTTTTGCTGCACTAGTCGCAGCTCTATATGTGGTCTCTTGTTGTTGTTGCACTAGCTATTTTTGTATAGGTCCAATATGCTGTTGGGACTATCCATGGATTGTTGCACTAGGTAGTTTAGAACACTACTCTTTTGCTGTTAGGAGAGTCTGGTTTCTGGTGCTAAAGCCACAGTAGTATTTCACCATTGCTTTTGGCATCTATTAAGCATCATACTAGTTAACATTAGGTATGTGAGGAATTGCATGCTCTGTATTCCCTTTATTCATTTGGCATTAGCTACTTTTTCCCAGTGGATGTATGGCCTGTTAAGGTGGCCCAATTCCTATGTCTATTGGCAGCATAGTATTCTCTTTTAGGTTTCACTGAACTATTTGCAAAGTGACGTGCCTATTTATGTTTTAACAAAATGGTTTACGCACTTCTAATCTTAAATTGTTATCATTATTATTAATAATGAGGGTGGGTGCAGATGATGTGCCTGGGTGCTTACTTAGACTCCAAGCGGCAAGGGCTTCGCGTTGCATGCCTACAAATGTTGAAACCGAAGAGGATGCAGATGGCGTGCAGGGTGGGATATTGGTCTGCAATATTCACGATGCGCCATATGGAGTCATACGTTGGGCAGGGGTGTGTAGGGTGGGATATTGGTCTGCAACGGGGGAATGCCATGCAGCTCCTCAACTTACGCAAGCGCTACATGCATAATATCTTGCTCAGCGTGGTTAACACCCATACAAAAAGTGTTACAGCGCGCGTCGCGGCCTTCGAAAGTAAAAGGTTGGCACAGTTGCATCGGTGATCAAGGTGGGGTGCGAGCATGGAATAAATTTTGCTAGTGTTTAGACCTTGGCTCTGGTGGGTTTTTTTGGGTTCAATTATGTTTTAGGCGGTGGTGGTCCGTAAATAATTAATTATTAGTGGGTAAAATTATCGTTTAGTCGGTGGTAGTCAGTGAATACTTAGTTTTTTACTATTGTTGGGCAGTGCATTTAAGCTTTTCATCCTGTTGGGAGTTTACATGCTTTCTTGTTGTTTAGTTATTCGTGTATGGGGTTCTGATATTCAACTAAGACACTTGTCAAACCAACTCCCCACTACTTTGGAATAGAACCAATATTGTTTGCAACTGTCTTAAACTCATGCCACCAAACTCATTCCATTAATGCCAGGTGTTGGACCCATTCGTCGTATGGGAACGTGCATGCATTGTCCTTCGTGAACGGATCAACATACATTTTTGGACTAGTAGTTTGCACACCATGTTTTTATTTGACACGTATAATTGTCATTATACTCCTCTTTAATATTAGTTTTTGTTTTAACCCTCTAACCCTGTGTTTTCCCGTTTCTCCAACGTAGTACATAGGTAACAATTCAATAATTTGTAGCAATAGTAAAATGGGCTTTCAAAACCAGTGTTATTGGGATGCATTGAATGAATTACTAAGTGACAAAGTAAAAGGGAACAAAACAAACTAGTATCATTGCAGTAGCGTATTGTACTAAAAATAAAAGGGAAAAGGAACCAGTTTAAACAGACTGCAGAATTCCTGGCAAGTTACTTTGAGGGGCAACTACGGGCGTTATGGCAGGCATATTTACCACAAATACCGCACTTTCGTCCGATTTTGACATTTTTCTCAATGGCTAGCTCCCAGCTGCTTTTAATACGTTTTCCAGTGCCTTTGTTCTTCGCTGGGGGGGGGGGGGGTTCTTGGATTGTTATGGATTGTGGTGGCTCAACACCGCATAATGCCTATATTGCAGCACGGTTACCCCTAACAGGGGTTGTTGTTAGTCCGTCACTACCAAATTCTTCTGTAAGACCCTTCAGTACCGAGACCATCCGCGTTGCCCGCTCCAGGTTGTTGCCGACCAGACCGGTGCACGTGTGTATCTCAGCCCACAGTTGGGTTGCTATGAGGGTTGGCCTTTCACCATTTGACGGTAGGCCTTTGCATGTACCGCACGTAAGAACCACAAACATATGTCGACAGGCAATGTATTCGGAAGGCAACTGTTCCAACTGTGCACCCCTAAAAACCACAAACATATGTCGACAGACCAAGCCCATTCATCGAAACAAGTTGCAGCTGCATGTTGCTCCCAGGCCACCTACCTTGTTGTGCACGGTCGAAATAATGTTCCTCTCACCTTTAATGTCGTAATGAGTGATATCCCCCTCTTAGTGTACACCGACCATGGAACAATCAAAACAGGCTGCTTCTATTTCTTTCTGTAGCTCATAAAAAATAGTGATTGTGGATACTTGTGCAATATGACGCTCGAGTGCTAATGGCGTTTTAAACTCTGGCAGGTAACCCTCGCACTGTGCGTTCAATTTATCTTGCTGGTAGCGCTGCGTCCCCAACATGCTTTCGAATTGCATGTAGAACTCTACCAAACTAAAATGGGGGCGTGAGAATTTACCGTATACACCATTCTCTGCTTCTGACCATGATGTTGTTCGCAACAACCCACTCATGGGCAAATCTGGAAAAAAAAAACTGGGATCCAACTCTCCCTTTCACCATATATTTTGCAAAACCACCTATGGTTTGATAGCTTGTATTCATCCATTAGTAGGTGACATTGCGTCTCAAACTCAACACTGCAGATTCCTTCATTCCATACGATATCATTTAGTTTTTTGCGAAACTCAGTGTCCTTAGCTAGTTCATTCCCAAGCTTTTCATTGACCTTTGCATGATGTGCCACATACAGTAGCGATGGCGGCAGTTTGGTAATACTTGTTGGATAGCAATTCGCATAGCTGGGTCTTGGTCTGTCACAACGCACAATGGGCTCTTGCCCATTGCACATGAAATTTTCTCCAATAGCCAGCTGTATGACTCAACGTCTTCTTTAGTCAGCAAACCTGCCCCAAAAGTGATGCATCGTTTGTGGTTGTCCACACCGGTGAACGGCACAAACACCATACTGTACCTGCACAATAAAAAGGGATGAGTTATACTATTCACAGTTGGGAAGCAAAGGAATGGTGCACGTGTGCCCACATAGCCAGATCTATTGCACCACCCGTATACGCGCGATAACAACTCATTAAAGACCGTTTTTTCCCAAGGCATGGTAAAATTAGTTAAGGGGAAGTAAGAAAGCAACGTACAGTTTTATTATTTCACCACTAATACCATGCTAGTAGATTGGGATGTATAAAGTATGTGTTCATTTTGTTTAGTAAAAAAAAAAAAAAAAAAAAACAAAACCAAAACCGGCAGTGTCTCACATGCATGCGTGTACTGTGAATGAAGATATGACAATGCACTAGTAAAGATGCTGCTAACAAGGTACACATGCATCAACACAACAACCGATACACTTTCTTACCGAGTGATCAGTCACAACATATATAATAATCTAAGTGCAACCCCATACCTGTTTGTTCCATAGGTTGCGTCGAACGAAATATTATCACCGTAGCAAGAGAATGTCCGCCTACCGAGTGGGTCAGCCCAGAACAGACGTGATAGTCGGTTTTCCTCATCCAGGTGGTAATCAAAAAAGAATTCGGTGCAGACTTCTTTCTTGGCTTTGAACGTTGCTATAATCATCTCGCCATCGGCTTTGTCAACGTACGATTGGACGTCTCGTTTAAAATTGTGAAATTCCACGTCCATTGCACCGACATTTGCATATGATCCAGTGGCTTCCTTGCAAAATCGCAGCCCTGTTGAAGCACCAATGTTAGCTTTCAAACAATTGCCTAAAAAAGTTTGCTAGACCGCATTGAGTCGTCGGTTAATCCGCATAAACACTTTAGATGACTCCGAACACAGCTTGTGGGTGTGTTCCTCAACGAAAATGGTCACAACGAATTCCCCAGGGCCCTTTCTCTTAAACCCGATCCTTGCTCCACAATTAACTCTGTTAGAGAACCGGCGGCGGCGCTCTCGCTTATCTCCAACATCTGCACCCCCTTGATGAACACGGTGTGTCCTACCACCGCCTTTGACCCCTTGCCGGGTGCAGACCAAATACCACGATTAGACTGCCCCGGCTCGGTCGCGCTTCACGGAGCTGCAACGAACATCAAACCCGACGATTCGAGCGTAGTTCATGTAGCATTGGATACCTTCGTTTAGTGTTTTAAATACGCGTCTCGCTACTGGCAGCACTGTAGCATCCACCAGGGGGGGGGGCTATGTTGGTGGACAGTTGGCGGCAACCCCATTGTATAGATGGCGCGGGGGGGGGGGGGGGGGGGGGGGGGGGCTGGTTCCGGGATCAAAACTCCGCCTTCTGCACAAACACGAGGTAGATGTTAGTGAAGTAATCAAAACCGCGTCGTACAACCATGCCATGAATATCAGTGGTCGAAGGGGACCTGTTATGTCACTGTCGTCGGATCCGGTCGGCATCTACAATTGTCGGTACAGCACGCTTGGGTTTCGGTGGAGTCCTCAGGAGCGTAAACAAACCTAGGAAGCAGTGGTGTATGCACTCTCGAATTCCTTTTCAAATAAGTTGCGAGAAGTTACGTAAGGGTGTGGGGAACCACATGTAGCGTAGTGCACCCAATTCTCGTGCGCAGCCAAATTTGAGATGTACGATCCAATATTTCAATGCACCAGATTGATCCTCCAGTTCACACATTAATAATGGTTCGCACCGGAAAAATAGCATATATATACATAATTAAGTTTCAGTGCGAGTAAGTATCTCCCGTGCGGTTGTGCGGGTGATTAATGTGCGTGAGTTTTGTACTTAAGGTTCGTGAGTCTTGTGCTTAAGGTGCGTGAGGTTTGTGCTTAAGGTGCATGAGGTTTGTGCTTAATGTGCATGAGTGTGTACAGAGTTTTGTGCTTGATGTGCGTGAGTTTTGTACTTAAGGTGCGTGAGTCTTGTGCTTAAGGTGCGTGAGTTTTGTGCTTAATGTGTGTGAGTGTGTACTTAATGTGAGTTGTTGTTGAAACTTTAAGGTGCATAAGTTTTGAAGTTTTGTGCTTAATGTGCGTGAGTTTTGTGCTTAAGGTGCGTGAGTTTTGTGCTTAACGTGCATGGATTTGTGCTTAATGTGAGTAGTTGTTGAAACTTAAAAGTACTTGAGTTTTGTGCTTAAGGTGCGAGAGACTTGTGCTTAACATGCGTGAGACTTGTGCTTAATGTGCGTGGGGTTGTGTTCTTAAGGTATTTTGTTTGTGTGCTTAATGTGTGTGTGTTTTGTACTTTAAGTGCGTTAGATTAATGTTTAATGTGCGTCCACCCGCACAACCGCACGAGAAGCCCCACGCGCACTTGATCCCTTCCCGATATATATATATATATATATATATATATATATATATATATATATATATATATATATATATATATATATCCTTTGGTGAGGCCGTAAGGAGATCATCCATTTTGAGTGATCTAAAGGCTACAACAAAACAAAAACGCGCTGGACAAAAAAGTGGGATGGATGCACAACAAACTGAGTACGAATGCACACCAAAATGAGTACGGAAATTCATTGCATATAATTAAATCACAGTCGTTGACTTAATTATGTAAGGATCAGATAAGTCCTCACACGTCCTCTCCTAAGGATAGGTCCTCACCTGATCCTTAATCTATATATATATATATATATATATATATATATATATATATATATATATATATATATATATATATATATATATATGTATATATATATATATATATATATATATATGTATATATATATACATATATATATATGTATATATATATAATTTATTATTTTATTTATTTATTTATTCTTAATGTATAATATTATTTGTACAAGATAAATTATACTTGCCTTAATAATTAATTATTATAGAGTAATATTATTGCCTAATAATTATTTATTGTAATTCTATTCATCTTTTTCAATGTAATTATTATAGTAATTTTATGGTAATATTTATACATATTTTTATACTTAAGGTATAATATATAATTAATTATTAATATAATTGCTTAATTTTTATTAATGGTAATTATTCTGGTAATTATCAATACTTTCTTCCATGTAATTGTTATGGTAATTTTATGATAATATATTTCAAAATTGTGACAATTTTATTAATTATTATTGTAATTTTATAGTAATATTACTAATATATTTCAATATTGGAACTTTGGAATAGAACAAATATTATAATTAATATAATTAATAAAATTATTATGGTAATTGTCACAATATTTGGTAATTATAATTAATATAATTAATGCAATTGTGAAATTTAATATTTCTTCGGTGACAATATTTGTGGCAATTTCATTAAATTATAATTTATAAAATATGAAATATAATTAATGAAATGAAATTATAAGATTAACAAAATATGTGTTCATAAATATTTAGAATTTTTTTTTTAAATACATACATATATATATTTATGCACTATATTAGTTATACAAAATTTAAGTGCTCATTTTTTCATTTTGAAATATAATTTTTATATTATAAATCTATAAATATAAATTATAATGAGTAAATACCAGCAATGGTTTCTCGAGTTTTTCGGTTTCACCACCTATAGTCCCTAACTTCCGTAATTACT